TATAATATAGCAAATAAAATTTTCTTATTAATTTTTAATAACAATTGTTTTTCAAAATTTTCATCTTATCGACAGGAACGTTTGGCAGTTAATACGGCATTAGAGCTATACTAAAAACACGCTCTACAGGGGCAGATGAGGGGATTGCGATATTATACTTAATAACTCTTATAATGGGGAATTTTAAAAATATTTATTGTTTTGCCCTTTGCTTCAAAAAATTGAGATAAGTTATCCTCCTACAATCCATCCTATATGTTATGAAATCTTAAAAAGATATTATTATTTTTATTTCTTTTATCGATTTTTTGGATTGTTATTATTTTTTATTTTATTTTATCGAGTTTTTTGAATTGTGACTAATTTTTTTTGACCAATTCTTGGAATTTGTATTTTTTGAAAAAGATTTTTTTTTGTTTTTTTTCTTAGAAAATGAAAATAAAAAATTATATTTTTTTGAAAAAGATTTTTTAGTTTTTTTTCTTCGAAAAATGAAAATAAAAAAGTTGTATGAAAAATAATAAAATGGAAAAAAAGAAAAAATCCATTTCAGCATTAAGAAAATATATTATTTAAGATTACGTAAAATCTCGACTTAGAAATTGGGCTATCATTTAATATTTTTATATTGTAAGTAAAAATATAAAATTTATCATTTAAAATTTTTATATTGTAAATAAAAATATAAAATTTAATATTTTTATATTGTAAATAAAAATATAAAATCCTAGATATGGTAAATTCTAGAAAATGATTTCTATATTAGAACTTTTATATATCATATAAAAGTAATTATTTCTACAATATATAAATTTATACTTCAAATTGTGTTCAACAATTAAAATATAAAGTCCTTGATTAAAATAATAGTGATTAGACGATAATTTAAAAAAATGGCATTAAATATAAATTCTAAATGTTTTTAATCTATGTATATATTATATAAAATTTACTTAGAACAATCTAAAATAAATTATTAACTAGCTACTTAGTTATATTATATAAAATAATTAATATTACAATCTAATGACGTTTTAAATTGGAACTTGTGATTTTGAAACTGATATAATACTTTTTGGGTATATTTTACATTTGGTAATTATCGAATTAGTTCCTTCAATATATGATGTTACTGTAAAATATTTATCATATTTGAGCCATGGTAATGTTAATTCATCTGATTTTGAATTTTCAGAATCAGATTATGAAATAATAATATCCATGCTTATGCAAATCTATTAAATTAAAATATAAACAAAAATATTCAAATTAATAAACTAATTAATGGCTTGATAAAAATTTGAAATGTGAAAAAGGAAAAACAGCTGATTAAAAAATATAAGATTTTTTTCTTAAAAAATTTGGATTAGTATTCAATTTAAGTAAATAAAAAGTGTTTTTAAAATTGAACGAACGTTAAATTCGAACGCGTTCGTCAAAAAAAAAAGGAACCCGTTCAAGTTCAAAGTTCGTCAAAAATAAAAGGAACGCCGTTCATCATTTTTTTCAAAAAAACGAACTTCGTTCACGAACGCGTTCATTAGCACTAGTAATTCCTAATTTCAAGCTGGCAAAAAGCATTTGGGTACAACAAGGAGCATCTGCACTTATGAATGCACAGATATATGTATGCAGATCTTACTGACCTCTATATTATTGTAGTTATTTTTCATATGATCTAATTATAAATAGTTTTACTTAATGGCTTTTATGCGAATAAATAATGGCACCTAATGAATGAACAATATTTGTATCTGAATCTTTTGATGAAATAAATATCAAAGGTATTTTTGAAATTTTGCAATTTCATATTACAAATATCAATATGGTGAAAAGTTATTTGTTCAGTATTCAAACTGTAAAAAATAAGATTGAGTAACCCTTGTAAATAAGAAAAATGTATATATAAATATAACTAATTTTACTAATTCTTTTATTACATGATTCCATTTTTTTTTCTTTTAGCTTTCACCTTTTTCTAGTGGTAAGCTCCTTCAATATCTTTCCACTTTATGTTATTCATGCTATCTCTTGCATCTAATTTATATTTCTTCATATTGGCTCTAACTTTATGGCCCAATTGAAATTTTGACCTTCCACTTTTACATTTGCCCATCCCTTCCAAACTCTTAACCTTATTTCCTATATAGTTTATAGGCCTTCTCATTGTGTGCCCATACTACCTAAATCTGTTCACCATTATCTTAATCTTAATAGACACTACCTTTAAACTTCCTAGTATTCTTGTACTTCGCACATTATCCTTTCTTGATAACTCAGCAATCCAGCATTCTCATCACATGATTCCATATAATTATAAAAATAATAAGATAAAAATTAAAGTAAAACAATTTAAAATAAAATCATAAAAAAATATTAAAAATGAATTCCAAAAATTATAAAGTTTTATAAAGAAAAAATTAATGATCATAATCTCAAAAAAATGAATCTTATAAAAATTAAAATTTACATAGTCCATACTGTAATATTTTTTCTCCGAACTATACGCGTATAATAACATCTTTTATATTATTTGCATAATAAAAAAAAATATAAAAACTTACATAATATATTAATTCTTCTCATTTTCATAATATTCAAATTATTATATCATGAATGTTCAGTACAACCAGAGTTGGGCAGGTCCTCCAGAAAAAGAATCTAGATACAGATACAGATTCTTAATAAAAAAATGAATCTTAGATACAGATACTAGTATCTTTTTCAAAATATCAAAAAGATACAAGATAAAAGATACTTGTATCTTTTACTAAATTAGAATATTTTAAATACAAGATACTTTTAAATTATCATTACCAATTAAATTAGAATAGTTTATAAAATACAGTTTTTATTATTTATTTGTGAAGAACATAGCATACACATATAAGAATGAATATTTGCAATAATTAATAAAATATTTATTAATGAATTAATTATAATAAACAGGGATTTTAATATTAGTTTTTGCCCATTAATAGCTTAAAAAGAGAAGGGAGAGTAATATATTTAATGGGAGTTGAAAATTTGCAAATAAGAAAAAAAAATTAAATCAAATGTTTTATTAGAATTTGCAGGTTATTTTTTGTGTTGTTTTAAATATAGCTTA